AGAAGAGGCTAAGCCTCCATTATCTACTCCAGTATCTGTAGAGAAGAGGCTAAGCCTCCATTATCTACTCCAGTATCTGTAGAGAAGAGGTTAGTCTCCATAAAACACTTGAGGAAACTGTACTCAGATCTTTAGTAGTTCTGGATTTTTCTGACAAAGCCAGAATCATGATGTGTGAGAAAAAAAATGTCACGGGAGAACAAGTGTTAACAGGAGCCCTGGTGTGGAGAGCTCTCCTTTCCAGGAGTGTCTTCCCCTCCCCACTGACTACACCCCACTGGCGGGCTTATTTTAGAAAGAAGCCAAACTGTTGGGAAAGTTGAAGCCTAAATATTTGCTTCTCCCCTCTCCTCCCAAGAAACTTTATTCAATAAAAGGCTGCTTTGTCAAGCCTATCCTCCCGCAGTCCAGGAAGCAGCTCTTTGACCACATGAGTGTGTGTGACTGGCAGTGCCCTTGTGCCAACGTGGACTGCAGTGAGGGGATTTGTCATTGTGGGTCCCACTCTGTGCTTGGGATAGTCTGTGTGTTCATTACAATCACTGCTCTTTGCTGAGATTGAGCAGCAGGGTTTGGAATTAGTATTCTGTGAGTTTTCTAGTTAGTGTTTAATCTTTATGTATCAACACTGACCTCATCTGATCACTATTAAATAGTGGTCTTCATAACCAGATTTCTCTCTTCCCTATATAACCGCCAAGCTGAATCCAGAGAGGCGCTCAGGTCATTGTTCAAGAATGTGGTGGTGTCAGAGGGTGACTTCAACAGAACACCTGGGGACAGGGGGGTGATTGTTACAATGTAGATTCCTCAGCCCACTCTAGTTGGCTTACTTGACAATAAGTTTGTTTGTTTAACAAACCCAGCACCCTAGGCGATTCAGTTATATGTTCAGAAGGCTTGAGGAAGACAGTTTTTTGTTTTTGTTTTTTTTCCTCTTTACTGATAAACCCTTAGCACTGTGGAGGGTGCCTAGAACATGGAACTGGGTTGCTCTGTATCTGTTGAGTTGGTTAGTTATTGGGCCCAGCCTCATGTTTCTTCTGTCAAGGATTCCATTATCTTGTTTGGACTTAGTTAAAAACAAGAAGGTAAGTTATTGTAGATCATGGGAATTATTTGAAGTTTAGAGTGCTAATATACCTTCTGTTTTACATTGCCCAGAAGTTTATGTCTAGCACAAAGCAAGTAAATGCTTAAAGGCCACATGCTGGAGTCTTAGCTCTCAGATATGGTCTATATAAGGCTACTTAGAAATGAGGAACTTGCAGGTTACAGTGACCTTCATATTTGTGCTCTTTTGGTTAAGCAACACAAGGCTATGTAGAGATGCCAAGTATTATTTGTGTCTGTAATAGTGGTTCTTGCCTTTTTCTCCCTGCCATGAACTAATTGAATGCTTTCTAAAAATATTACTATTGAAATATTCTTGGTCCCAAAGGACTTTACATTGTGAGCAAACCATAGGAGTGGACTGTTGTCTTACATGAAGTTTGGCATTATATGAATTTGAACATGTGTCTCTTTCACTCTTTTTCAATCCCAACAGCTCATTTTCTTTTTTTCTACCCAGCATGCCCGTATCCACTATTGAGTGTCTTAACCATTGTGGTGTTTTCTCTCTCTTCCAACCTCCTGTCTTTTTTTTTTTCTACACTGTAAAGATGACAAAGCACAAAGCACACTTTTAGTGGACAAAGTTTATGGGGGGAAAAGTAACAAATATTAAAGATTACAGCTTTATTAAAGCCTAAAAGAATGCTTAGGGTGGATTGTAGCAAGACAGGTAGGTATTCAAGTAGAGTGAGGTCTTAATGGAAGGAAGTTGACCTTCCTTCTAGGGGAGGAAGAATATTGTCAAAGTTGTTCCTCTTGGTGGTTTCTGTTTTTGTTTGTTGTTTTTTTTTTTTTTTTTTTTCCTGGAATGTGCCCTGTAGATGGGTCTTCTCGAGCTCTTGCTCGCTCCCCCCCCCTCCTGTTTATGTAGCCCTGGCTATCCTGGAACTCAGAATGTAGACCTGGCCTTGAACTCACAGAGATGAGTTCTGTGAGTCTGTCTCCCTGGTGCTGGGACCAAAGGCATGTGCCACCATGCTGGGTTTGGGTCTCCTTTCAAAGAGGACACTTTCTAGTGTTTGAAATACAGCACATTGGATTCTGACCAGTTTAGGTTATGCTCCTTAATTGATCTGTAGGTTTCTGGCACTAGTTACCCTTCTGTGATTCCAGATAAATAAGGCTCATCCTATGCGTGTTGATGCAGACTGTTAGGATAAGCAACACAGCTCATATTTAAAATGAAAATTAAAGGCTAACTTACAATGACTTTTTGCAGTCAATATTTTTGCCTTAAATTCTCTATAATCTATTAAGAGATTATTTGACATGTAAACAGTTCTTTGGTTTTTTGTTTGTTTGTTCGTGCTGCCCTTGGTCCATAACAATTCAGTGTACAATTTGGGAAACATGTTTTAAATACTACCCAAAACACAGTATGAAAAAATATTTAATTAAAAATTTTTAGTTCATTAAGTACTTTTGCTTCCTGAGGTTTAATTTCATGGGATTGCATAACAACCTCCATGATTAATCAGGAGCAAAAACAAACCAAAAAAAGTTTAAAAAAATAAAAAATTTTGTCCCTGCTGAATCATCTTTGCTCTAACCTGACCCACCCCCTACCCCCTACCTTTATTGTCCTTACAGCAAGATGCATGGCGGCTGTGCCATTCTGTACACTACCTCATTAAGAAAAGTCTTATGTTTATTATTACTACAGTGTTCTCAGTGGAACCTGGTTTCTGATGGGATATGTGTACACTGATTGATAACCTGTTACAGGTTCTTAACATTAAACACATGTTCAAGTGCTTTCACAGTACTACACACCATACGGAGCTGTGTGATAGACAGAAATGACACATTGAATTAAAAAGTTCCTATTTGAGTGGAGCAAATGGGCAGACAGCTGTTACAATGAAAAGCAGGTATTTCTAGGTGCGGTGAGAGGAAAGAAAACACAGACAAAGCTGAGCTGTGAAAGATTAAATGTTGAGAATTGCAAACAGGTGAAAGTAGTTTGTTGGCCTGAGAACTTGGCATGTTCTAGCAGTGGCAAACAATTCTATGTGGCAGGTATATGTCAACCTGGTAGAAAATGTGTGTGTGTGTGTGTGTGTCTTCTGAGATGCATGAAATCTCTTAACTGTAATTCCCCTGTAAAAATCAAAATCAAAAAGCAGATCACATACTTCCAACACATAATGCCACAGGATATACATTACCATTCCAAAACAGAAGGAAGGGAGCATAGCAGGGAAATACTATGTCAAAGGAAGACTGAAAAACAGCTGGGTAAAACTCCAAACTCTGCATCAAAATGCTCTTTTGGTCTCCAGTTCCATCCGAATTTGTTGACTGCATCACATTTCTTTTTCTTGGGTTAGTTTCACTCCCCGTTAGCAGCTCTCCTCAGCAGGTATCCCAGGGCTCATCTTGGGGTCTCGAAGGGAATCACAGCTTCTTGCAATGAATGGCTTCTTCTCTAGACCTCCATTCAGGAACACCCCTGACACATGCCTGGCCTCAGGAGCCTGCTTTAGGCTTGGAGGCAAATTCCATAAACTGTTTCTACTATCCTTAACTCTAAAGCCAGAACCAAGAGTCCGAAACTGTCAAGTTCTACTGTTTACTGGAGTTGGAACATGATCCCGTTTAATTACATCTTCACCAGATCTCTGGTTTTTCTTCACTGCCTAAGTTTGACTGTCCTTGAACTTACTCTTTAGACAAGGCTGGTCTCAAACTCAGATCCACCAGCTTCTGTCTTCCATGCTTCCATGGGTCCATGGTCATCGTGGATATGCTTGTCCCCTGTCTCAGGGCTCTAAAGTTTACACATTGAAGTCAGGAAGAAAGATCACATTCTTAAACGGGTTGACCTGGTTCTTCCTTGAGTGACGTACTTTAACCTCCGTTCTCATTCTCATCTGCTACAGGTTACCTCTGCCTGTCCCAAGTTGTGTGCTCTCATGTTAAACTAAAAACAAACAAAAGCATGGTCCCTCAAAGTATCGTATTCTTGGACTTCCTGCCTTCAGACCTCCCCAGGCGGTACTGTGCGGAGCATGCAGAAGCTATTATTTGTTCTGTGCTCCAGAGAACTTTGTTCATTGAACAGCTATAACATTGAACAGCTTGCATTGTTAAAGGCTATAACACCAGTCTCCCCAAATAGTCTGTTTTGTGAAGATCCCGACTTGCTTGCCATGATGTGCTAAATGCCAAGCACAATACTTGGTCCATGGTAGGCAGTCATAATGCTCTTCATTGGAGGTGTTCAATTTGTCAAGGATTAGAGAAATGTGAAAACGTAATAATGTACAGACCTGGATGCATTTCGTTTTAAGATGTCTATCTGCCTGGTAGCAGTGGGCAATGCAGTTTAGTTTTGGGTGTCATTTCTTGGAGCATCTGAGAATGCTCACACAAGACAATTAAAAGTGACTTCCTTAAAATTTGAATTACTTAGGTGCTATCTCAGATAATTTGGGGCCATATAAATCTCCATCTCTTTTTAAACAGAATTCACTGGGAGAAGCTATATGTTTATATAATGATATGCTGAATAGAAATAATCACCCAGCATAGGTATTAAAATAGCATCAGGCTGCAGAGAAGCTTGATATAAATTATCACAGAGTTGCTACCACTTTCCCACATTAGACTAGCGCTGTACCAGCACTTTGTTTTGCTCTGCTGCTGTGATGTGATCATCAATATGAGACTACAAGTAGCATAATAATTTTACAGAAGTTGCCAAAGCCTGGATGAGCAAGATTGAATGCACATTTTAAGTTTAGATTCCAATCAGCGTATTCCTAGGACTCTGTGATCATTGCAGATTAGTGGCCTTTCCTTTGTTGATTTAAATAGAGAAGCGGTACTTGTTGAATAATTTCCCTTTAATCTCAGAAGACACTGTGGTTTTTGTTTTTCAGTGTTGAAAATGAGCCCATGAGCACAAGTCAGAAAAAGGGAAATGCACTTCCATCAGAAGGAGTAAAGGTATGCTTTAAATTATTGTTTGTAAATTATATGGTGCAACACCAAGGAAAGTTGACACTTTAGATTCTTGTCTTATGTAGATAGAAGAGCATGTTTATTTTACATTATCAGGGTATCGACTGCAGTGTGAGCTTCAGCTGAGGCATTTAGATGTTTGTGACTTAGTTTTTTTTTTTTTTTGTTTTGTTTTGTTTTGTTTTTTTGAGCAAGGGTTTCTCTGTGCAGCTTTGGAGCCTATCCTGGCACTCGTTCTAGAGACCAGGCTGGCCTCGAACTCGCAGAGACCCGCCTGTCTCTGCCTCCCAAGTGCTGGGATTAAAGGCATGTGACTTAGTTTTTAAAACTCCGAATCAGAGCATATGAATTTCATGGTCCTTTTTTCCAACAGAGATTTTAAAGATTAAGTTGCATTTTATGGAATGATACAGACACCTCCTAGTGCTTTGGGGAGGTCCAGATTAATACTATGTCAGTGCTACAGTGTGATCGGTATTTGTTAGCTCCCATATAAGCTTGCTGGGCACTACAAGACAAGCACCATCAGTGTCCAGGTGATGTTCCTATCTGCATGGCTGCCGGTGAGTGGCTGAGGGCCTTGAAAACTATTGACCTTTCCAATTTTCCTAAGTGGTTTTCTAGGAAATTGGATTTTCGGGTCTTTGTTTTATTTTTTGTCAACTTTGTCAACACAGGTATGACTTTGGGTACTAGTTGCTTCCTTTATTTATATGTGATTTGTGACAGTCAGTCAGTCAGTCAGTCGGTTCCATATGGGTATTTCAGGTTAAGTTAACCTGGTCAGTAGAAGAATAGAAAGTTATCTAAATTTTCTTTTCTTTTTTTGGTTTGTCAAGACAGAGTTTCTCTGTAGTTTTGGAGCCTATCCTGGCACTCGATCTGTAGACCAGGCTGGCCTCGAACTCAGAGATCCACCTACCTCTGCCTCCCGAGTGCTGGGATTAAAGGCGTACACCACCAAAGTACATCGAAAGTTATCTAAATTTTTTACTACTGTTGCATGTATTTCTTAACATGTTGAAAATTACACACAGTGTACAAGTACTAGAAGAAGGTGAAGGTGTGTGTCCTTTTTTTCTCAATGAAAGTGAAAATAATCTTTGCTTTATTGAAAGAAATAGGTCAGATTCCCCTTTTTACCACTTGCTTGAGTTTGGCTACTAAATCTTGCCCCTGGTTTTATTTTTTATTTTTACTGACTTGCTTCTGGTTTAGTTTTTCTTTTCCAGGCAGGGTCTCACTATGTAACCCAGACTGTGTCTGCATGGCTGTGGTCGCCACTCAGGCTTCTGAGTGTTGGGATTGCAGGGTGCATCACCATGCGTGACGTCGCCACTCAGGCTTCTGAGTGTTGGGATTGCAGGGTGCATCACCATGCGTGACGTCGCCACTCAGGCTTCTGAGTGTTGGGATTGCAGGGTGCATCACCATGCGTGACGTCGCCACTCAGGCTTCTGAGTGTTGGGATTGCAGGGTGCATCACCATGCGTGACTCTCTCCCAGGCTTTCTGACTTCTCCCTCCTACTTCCCGTCTATGGACAGTGCTTGGCCAGCCTGCTGATTCACCATGGCATGGGCTCTGTGGCCTTTTCTCCCTTCTTCAGTTGCTGAGATTTAGTTTACACAAGATTCTCACTTCTAATGCTATGTTTGAAGTGTTGCCTTGTGTTTCATAGCTCCTCCTGAATCTCAAGTGCTGAGAGGAATCTTTGACTACCAATTCCCGTCCATCTCGTCTCTCAACTCCTCGTTGCTTCCACAACTTGGATCTTTCAGCCCTTGCTGTGTTCTTGGTTTCCTGTTCTCTTGGTCTCTGCTTATTTCCCTACTCCTCCTGCATCCACCCACCACCTATACTTTTTTTTCAACAGACTTGGATAAAGTCAGCCTTTAATTCCCAGGAGTCCAGTCTTTTATAACCAGAGATTGGCTCTGACAATCTTCTTTCCATCCCTGGTGTTTGAGTGTGAGCACCCAGGATTTCATTTTCCAGTCTGGGCAGATGCATAGATACTACCCATAGTCATGAGATTACTCAGAGTTGCTTGCTTACAGGGACATCCAGTTCATCCATGATAAAAAAAAAAAAAAAAAAGACACAGGGCATACTTTGCTGGGACATATTGGTCCATATAACTTTTTATTGTTCTCTCTGCCACCCTCTCCTTCCCTCTCTCCTTCCTACCCTCCCTCCCTGTCTCCCTCCTTCTCTGTCTCTGTCTGTCTGTCTGTCTCTCTCTTGCTCTTTCACTCACTCTCACTCTGTCTTCAACCCTCTGAAAACCACTGGTACAGTTTCTTCAGCCTATTCACATGAACCTGTTTTTAGGGATGGCTGCTATCTAGGATTAAAACATCTGCTGAGTTTCAGCATGACTCCAGGACTGGACCTGACTGGGGGCAGCAAGGGAATGAAGAAAAGATACAGAGGGATACACAGAAAAGCTGGAACTAGGTGGACTGGGCTCTCGGATGGAGAAACCACTGTGCCTCATAGAGCAGTGTGTTTATTTTGTACAGGTGGATAGAGAGGAAGGAGATGGGGTTATCACACTCAGATGAACAGGGAGGCAGGGTGTCCAGTAAAGAGCTCATCTCAGTAGTCTCTGGAGGGGAGGGAGAAAGCCACGGTGGACATTTCCAGCACACACTATCAGCATTCCTACTCAAACCGGGAAGGTTTTGCCATCCCTCTGAGCCTCACTTCAGGGTGAAAGCTTTGCGGTTCCCAGGGGTCTGAGGCTGTAGGGTCCCTGATAGGGCCACGCCCATGTCAACAACACAAATTCACTCAGGCCTGCACACACTCAGGGTTTCCTCCTCTCCCGTGTGTGTGTTGGTTATACCACCAGCAGTCCCATGACTTGAGGGTGAAAACAGTTGAAAAGGTGTGTGATAGCATCTATTATATCATTACTTTGAGCAGTTTCAGTTGGAGATTTTTCATTTAGCTAGTGGCCTGAAACATGCTGTTTTTTATTTCTAATGACCAGTTTTCTGAAATGCCCGCTGAATTGAAGTGTGACATTTTTTTTTTTAACCGTGTTTCCATCCTTTTAACCCAAATTGTGTGCAGTCTGTAACAAGGGGGAAAGGTACAGGGGTTTCCCTCTGCAGTCTGAAGCATAACAGATCCATGATTAGTCAACATAGTTGTATATATCTCACTTTGTATTTGACATTGATATATCAAGGCAAGATGTCAGTGATGTTACCTAAGATGTTGGAAGAACAAAAATTGATTTTACTTTTGAATATTTGCAGCTATAGTTTAATAGTATATTTGGACATCACTATGTTCTTAATCCTTAAAATGTCATTTATATGTACATATTATAGATCCTCTGGGTTTCTCTAATATTGTTATTTCTAATGCTTGCATGTATTTGTCTACTGGCGTATGTATTTCTGCTATGTTAGTTGGATTTTTTATTTGAGTTGGAAAAACTTAGATACTTAGCCACTATCTTGTCTCCTTAACATGTTACTGCACTCTACAATTTTAGTTAAAAGAGATATAAAACATCTTTTTTGGGTTTTTTAATTTGTTTTACATGCCAACCCCAGTTCATTTCTCCGTCCCCTCCTCTCCTACCCCCCCCCAACTAAAACCCTATCTGTCACATATCCTTTCTGCTCCCCCTGGATGGTGAGGCCTTCCATGGGGGGAGGTCTTCAGAGTCTGTCGTATCCTTTGGGATAGGGCCTTGGCCCACCCCCGTGTGTCTTGGCTCAGGGAGTATCCCTCTATGTGGAATAGACTCCCAAAGTCCAAACCTATGCGAGGGATAAGTAATGAACTACTACAGGAGGTCCTGTAGATTTCCGAGGTTTCCTCACTGAGACCCACATTCCCAGAGTCTGGATCAGTCCCATGCTGGTATCCAGCTATCAGTCTGGGGACCAAGAGCTCCCCGTTGTTCAGGTCAGCTGTTTCTGTAGTTTCGCCAGCCTGGTCTGGACCCCTTTGCTCATCATTCATCCTTCTTTGCATCAGATTCCAGTTCAGTTCAGTGATTAGTTGTGGGTGTCTGCTTCTACTTCCACCAGCTGTTGGATGAAGGCTATCGGGTGGCATATAAGTCAGTTATCAATCTCATTACCAGGGGAGAGCATTTAAGGTAGCCTCTCCTCCGTTGCTGAGATAGTTAGCTGGTGTCATCTTTGTAGATCTCCAGACATTTCCCTAGTGCCTGATTTCTCTGTAAACCTAAAATGTCTCCCTCTGTTATGGTATCCCCTTTCTTGTTTTCTTCTATTCTCCCAACTCAACCTTTCTGCTCCCTCATGTCCTCCTCACCCCCTTCCTCTTCTCCCCTCTCATTCTCCTAGCTCCCTCCCCCCTCCTCCCATGCTCCCAATTTGCTCAGGAGAGATAGAAAACATCTTATACCCCTTATTGATTTCAGAGAATCTCTTTCCCTTCTTCCCTTTCAAAGATGAACTCATGCAGGTGTGCACCCCATGCTCTGTGCCAGTGGTGCTGGTGGTCCCCCTTCCCACATCCTCTGTATCCTATGATGTCTGCTTCTAGCCCTTGTCTCTGTTGGCTTCTTCCCAGGTGTCTCATCTCACCCTGTGTGTATGTAAGTTGACAGCAGTAGTCTCTGAGAATCTAATGACCTGTCCACAGTCTGTCACTTCACTGGGCTCCTACATTTTCCTGAAGAATTTCATATGGAAGTCTGCTTTAAATACTTCCGGTTCTTAATGTTTTCTAGTGTGACTCCTCTGTTTCCTTTAGTGACTTCAGACCTCAGACTCAGGAAGCTCAGTGCTGTGTTTGCCACATGTCAGGGATGCTTCTCTGCCTCCTTGATGAATGAGGGCCATTCCGTAAAACCAGTCCATTTAAGGTCACTTAATGACCAGTTCCTACCTACACTCAGTAGCCTTTTGTTCTCCGTCCTTGGTCTGCTCAGCCAACTGAAACACTCCATGCTCCCAAGTCTTGTTTCCTTTTTCAGAAAGCCTTTTGGCT